CTGGAAATGAGATGGTTCGATAATTTCTTGCAGGCTCTATAGGCGAAGAAAGAAGCGAAACTTGAACTTACCGGTTACGTAACGGAGATTTTGGAGGTCGCTGTAGTTTTTAGATGTAATATTGCTGCTGCGATTTGCAGTGCGTAACTAACAATAAATTGATTTGATAATTTCACTGATTTGAAATTGACAGAGCGATTATTGCTGAGAGCTTTCAGTTCTCTATAGAAACAACAAATAATCTGAAGTACGCATTTGGATCGGTGTTCACATTGCGTGATTTATCTGCTTCTTTTTTTTCCAATTATCTCGTTGCTGGAATGTTTTCTTTTCCTGAAAGGAAGAAAAGACTAGGCGATAGACTTATTCAAGTGTGGCGGATGAAAACCATGCGCACAATGTGCAGGTGCCGCCGCATGCAAGTCCAAGAACTATTTCGGGTTGCCCTTAGAGGGCACATATACCTTAGTGGATAGTTTTCTGAAATGTGGATTTTTTGATATGATGAATAGTACCTTGTTCATGATGATATCCGTCAATGCATTTAGTAAAAATTCTGTGATTACATTATTGTGCACTTGTTCTCTTTCTTGTGCTACATGATGATTGTGTTTTGATGTATACTGCGCGCATCAGTATGCCATAAACATGGATTAGTGGATTTGTTCGCGGCGTTTCCGCTGGCGAAATGGCGGTAAGCCCCTCCGCAGATACGACTGGGTCGTAAATGCCACCAGATATTGGTTCGGTTATCGCTGGGTTGGGAAGTACAACTTTTAGGGATGGCATACTCTAGGTAGGGGTTGAGAATTGGGAAGGATGGATGGGTTTTTGCAATGCCATATCGATGGCGATATTGGGTTTTGTTCTCGTTTTGTTTCTCGAGCCATCCTAGCGTGGCTTCATGTAATTAGCTATACAAATTCACTACCAGAATGAAGTCGGTAAAGTCACATATCGAGCGGGTCTCAACGGGAAATTCCGGATACAAAACGCTTTTTCTAATATCAAATTCACAGAGAAGTTCTTAAGTAACTTAATACAGGATGACATAGCTAATTAATAAATGCGCGATACTCATGTATCATTCAAACTTTGTGAGTACCCCAATTCTATCTTCGAAGGCAATCCATTCGTCCCTTAATCGACTGGACTTGTACTTTACATCCGTAATGTTTATGACAGTGTTTCATTTAATTATCTCAGCTTCTGTTAATATTGCTTCTTTTTTAATCTTTTAGCCCAGACATTATTTCTAACTCTAGAGAGAAACTAAATTTTTTTGAAAGTTTTATTTTCCTCTTTATTTTAGTCAGCAATCAAAAACCCTTCTCGCATAGAATTCCATTTTATCATCATCTTTTTTTTGTTAACTCTCTAAATATTTAAGCCGTCGCAGCACATCCAATACG